CCGTGGCTCTCTTGGGTGTTCCTTGGTTGATGTTAAAATGAGATTCATGGCAACATTTTTTTTGCTTGGACAATTGGACTCTGCTAAAACCAGGACTTTGCAAGTATTCTCCATTTTCACCTCCTTTTATTTTTCTATTGCGTATTGTTCTGTTTACGTCTTTTGTAACATACCTTTTCTGTCAATAATTTAACTGCATCATTTGACCTTTTCATTAATAAACCCTATTTTGAAAAATGTTTAAAACTATCTCTAAGGCTTTTAAATCCTTGTCTCTTGAAGAATGCTCTGAATATACCTGTCTGTAGTGACAGTGTGTGTTACAGACGTTTATTGTTCACATTTGTTCTTGCTAACATTGTGAAGGGTTGATAGGCCCAAAGCTATCTGGTGGCAGTGTGGAGTTTGAAGGGTTAGTTGCTAATTAACCTAACTCAGTGACAATTGCTCTCAGGCTGCTGGCACCTAAATTGTGGTCCCGCCAGCTATAAAATCTTTGTGCAGGGCGCAACTGAAAGTGGCATTGTTACGCAAGTGACAGTGCACTATAAGATTGGTGGTCCTCTTTTGTCATGAGTTGGTGAGAAGGGTAGGGGCCAGGCACCGCGTTAGTCACAGCGGTGATGTGCGCTTATCCAGTGTGGAAAAAGGAAGGTCACAGCTGATAGTGTGAACAAGCTCCTAGAAAACTGAATCACGATAGTGCAAAAAATGGTGGAACTTGCACTAAAACCATTTACATGTTGACAAGGTGGGTTTGAATTTGTTCTGTTTCTTCTGCAAGAGTTTTACAGGCAGAGAAGCTATTTTGAGGAGTTTGGGGAATAATAGAAGCCTATAAGTTATCAGTTCCAGAGGAACTAGAAAACCTATTTTGCTGCAAAATTGTCTTGAAGATACAACACAATGGGGGGGGGGGGGGGATTTACCAAAACTGGAGCACTCAGAATCTGGTGCATCTGTGGATGGTAGCCAATAAGTTGCTAGCTTCAGCTTGTTCAATTAAAGTGTTATTAAACCCACAACCGTAAAATCAGTCTGTATATGCAGTAGAGCATGCTTGTTATACTCACTGTGGAACCTAAGGGGTTAATCCTCTGCATTGTGTAACAAGGCTGTTTGATCCTGACTTCTCTGCCCCTTCTTTTGTACAAATGTCTACCTGTTAAGACAGACTGAACCTGTAGCCCTTCTGCACATGCTCATTTAGTGTGTATTGCTAGAGAGGTTTATTTTTCTTGGGAGGGTGCATGTGATCAGCACAGGGCCAATCAGCACTGTCCAGACATAGGTCAGGGGTTTTGCATCCTCCTAGAGCAGAAAGAAAACCCCTCCTACAAGCTTTAACCAGTGCTCTGCTGAAGTCACAAGACTGCTCTAACTGCTGCACAGAAAAGGTATTTAGAAGTTTATATTTACAAAAATAATTGCACTTCCATGTTGTGTGTACTCTCGGAGACCAGATATAGTGAATGCAGGGTCCTGGGTTTAGTAACACTTTGACAATAAAACCAGGCAGCGGATTGGTTTCTATGCAGAGTTTTGCACGCTCCAGTTTTAGTAAATCTCCCCATCAACTACATGTGAGATGCAATCAACAATTTACTCCAACATGGATGAGGTCTTGTTCACCTCTTCTTTCCTTAATGCTAAGATGGCAGTATTTCTTTATATTACTCAACAATAGCACCATACAAGAAAAGTGTCAGAAATAAGAATTACTTGAATTTCTAGCATGTGTTGGTACAAACATTGAAAATGTTACATGGTTTTCTTTAAAGTGTTTGTAAACCTCAGGCGTGAATTATGAGCAAAGCATATCCCTCTATGGTGTGTTCCGGTCTGGTATCCAGAGCACTGAGTGTTGTTTCTGTCTGCTGCCTCATTCCTTTGCTATAAGCATGAGTCTTTTCTGACAAGTTTACTTGACACCAAGAGAAAAATGGTGACAGGAGGGCACAACCTGTGATTGACAGACACAATTCTGTTGCTGTGTGCCAATCGGCTCTCAGAGCTCTCCTCACTGAATGTAACTTTAGCTCCCCACCCCTGCTTTTCAGAGCTGAGAGATCCTGTGTAAATTCTGCACTTTGAATGGTTATAGGGGAAATATGGCTATAGGTAACCAGGTACAACTTATGCAGGAGGATTTGTTTCATTTCTGTGTATCCCTTGAGGCCAGTCACTTCACTGGGTATATGTAAGGATTTGCAAACACATTAATTTGGCCCGAAGTTTCTGAGTGCATACATACTGCCAGAAAATGTGTCACAACTGCCTAATTGAGTCACCCCGATAGTGTCACAATTTGTAACCTTCGATGATATAATTTATAGGAAGTATCATGTGCACATGCTTTACATACAAGTAATGATCCTGCAGGGATATCACTGACATCAGCACTTCCAGTGGAGTTCCACTTCTTCTAGAAATTAAGTCATTTAATTTTTTCGATAGCTCCACTCCGAACCCAGTAATTAGGTTAGGCACATTCTACATCTTCTGCCAAATGACGACTCTGTACTTGTCCATGAAGCTTTGTCAGGAAGTTTGTTGGCACACCCACCTTGATCACACCTAGTTAACCCTTGTCATTCAACGAGACTCAGGTACACAACCAGCGAGGACATGAAAACTTGAAGCTAGCTCTTCACTGTGTCATCCGACTCCTTTGCGTGCTAAACTAGGCTTTGTGAAGAAGGGAGCAAAATTCATTTGTTTGCCAGTAAATAGAAGAAAAGGATTCTTTAAGAGCTGGGAATAGCCTTAGAGGAAGAAATTAGTTTCAGTCGCTCAGATCTTACTTTACTACATTTGGTGGCTATCTGAATGCTTTCCATTATTTGATGTCCAATCTACTCTTCCTTCTAAGCTACAACAGCACAGTTTGCCATGGTAAGTGTGAAATGTATCAATGTGTCTAGAATGTTTGTTGCTCCAGGTCCACCTTTCAGTAAAAGGAGGCTGGACTGTGATGAGGGATTATAGGAAGACCTTGAGGTTTTTGTAAACAGAAGATGTAGTTTCGTGTCTTGTTGCCATACGTTGAAAACAGATAGCCCTTTGTTTCTGGTGCAGCTTGTATTACCAGGATCTGTCTGCCTAGAGTGAGGAGTTCTATTTAGCAGGAAAATGTGAAATCTGCTCCTTATGGGAACTGTTCCCCATAACATTGAAAACACAGTCTATGAAATTCATGAAGAGTGCACTTATTAGAAATCTGTCTTGCAGAAAGGCGACAATTGCGACAGATTCATCTATGTTCCGGTAAGGTGTACATGAATCTGATGCAGAATTGTCTCAAAGATGCAACACAATACTATAGTTTACTCCAACATGGAAAATGTCTTATTTGCCTCTGCTTTCTTTATCACTGATGTAATGGTGTTTCTTTATGAATTTGCCGCAACAATTGCAACAGGCAGTAAAAGTGTTGCAAAGAACGACATGAGTTTGTTGCTGGTGTCGGTGCTAAGAATTAAAATGTTGCCCTTGTTTCATGAACTTGACACAAGGCTTCCAACTACATACACATCACCAGAAATGATTCTTCTTACTGTTATACAGGATTTAAATAGCACCAACAGTTTGTGCAATGCTTTAGAAATATGTTGCAATATGCACACGGGCGCATTCACCCTTACAGCTTGAACACACTGGCATATTTGGTACCCAGAAGCCCCTGGTTCTGCGTACAGCCACCTGTAGACATGAATAGGTGTAGGAGGCTGTACACAGGTGACGCATGCGTACAGACATATGGTCCAGAATGTCTGCGCTTGGGGACTGCACTTTAAAAAAGTAGCTGTGCATATCTGCGTACAACTACCTGGACCCATTCATGTCAATGGGCATCTGTACACAGCACCATGGGCTCCTGGGCACCAAAATATGCCAGCATGTTTGCACTGTATAGAGGAACGGGTGCATGGGCCCTTATTGAATCACCCCTGGTATGACACAAAATGTTGGACACTTTAAATGGAAATGACTCAACAGTATCCCTACTTAGTGCATTCATGTGTACTCCAAGGTCCCGCTATGGATTGCCCCACAAAACCCTTCCACTTAGCAGATTTGTCACTTTTTTGTTTGGCCTGATGTTTATGCAACAGGTGTGCATAGTTACAGAAATAGGTAATGATAGAGTCTCTACTCCCCAACAAAGTCTCCCTTTGTTTTATTGCTTGTTTAATATGCAGTACACCCTATGTAAAAGTGCCTCTTTTATCAAGTGCATGTGGGTTTTATTAAACGTTCAAATTCAGTACAACAAAACTGTACTAAAATTAGAAAAACACAATGTACTGAATAATAGTTTACAGGGCAATGATCTGCTATAATTCACAGTACTCAAATAGTAGCCTATTGGTGTATTGTTATATAACACTCTTGAGTACTGCATGTAGCAATGGAAAATCTGTAAACAAGGGAGGGTTAAAATTGACAGTGTCATGTTCACACCTGTAATTCTGTCTGCACTTTGGTTCCAGACATGAAGCAACATTTTTTTATAGATACTGTTGTCCCAACATTAGTATAAAATTAACTGCACATACCAGGTGTGACAATTTAATGCCCGGAGTGCCCACGTCCTAGCACTATAGTGGTGAGTCACAGATTTATTCGCACTCGAGTATGTTGTGACATGTTCTAACTTGCACTCTCCTGGGTCACAGACCAGTTGACTCAGTCTTTGCGGAGTAGTGGAAGAAATAACACGTGTGCGTTGGGTCACTGACCAGTTGACTCAGTCTTTGCGGAGTACTGAAAGAAATAACACGTGTGCATTGGGTCACTGACCAGTTGACTCAGTCTTTGCGGAGCAGTAGAAGAAATAACACATGTGTGCGTTGGGTCACAGACTAGTTGACTCAGTCTTTGCGGAGTAGTAGAAGAAATAACACGTGTGTTGGTTGGGTCACAGACCAGTTGACTCAGTCTTTGCGGAGCAGTAGAAGAAATAGCACACGTGTGTGCATTGTGCTATTGGCAGGAAAATGACTGACAGAAATCTGGAGCAGCGGATTAACATCAAATTTTGCGTCAAAATTGGGAAAAGTGCAAGAGAAACTCTAGCTCTGTTACAGCAGGCTTATGGTGAACATTCCATGAAGAAATCAAGTGTTTTTGAATGGTATAGGCGGTTTAAGCAGGGGTGGGAAGATGCCCACATTGACACAAGAAGTGGGCAGCCAAAAACACAAAGGATGGATGCAAATATGGACACAGTTCGAACCCTCATACGCTCGCATCAAAAATTGAGTGTGCAACTGATGGCAGGAGAATTGAACATGAACAGGGAAACAGTGCAGGAGATTCTAACAAAGGATTGGGGAATGAGAAAGATTTCTGTAAAGATGGTGCCTCGAATCTTGACTGATCAGAAAGAACGTCATCTTCAAACTTCATCTAATCTTTTGAAGAATACAGAGGTGTTTGATTTTTTTTTTACAGTCCATTCTGGAAATTAAATTGTCACATCTCTTATACCTCCTAGGTATGGCCCATATCTAGGACAACGATATTTGCTTGATGATTTGACTACCTTTCTTCTTACAGCTGAAGTTTTACCCTTTTTTGGGAGGGATTGGCAATTCAGCATCAAACAGATTACTTAGCTGTAATGTATTCCATATCTTGCAGGCTGCTGGTTCATGTAAAAAAAACCTTCATGCTGCCCACAGTGGTGTTATTCTAGTGATGCAGGGGTTAATGGTTGTGATTGTGAAAGACTTGCTCCACTTGCCCCTCATTGTGTTCTTTAAGTGGGCAGGGGAGATCCTGTCATTCATCCACTCCTCCTGCATTCACAGAACGTGGTGCATTTTGGGACAATAATACTACGAGTCGTGAGACTGGTATAGGACGCAGGAAGAGGCTGACAAGTGGTACAAGGCCTTCACACTGGCAGCCGCTACTGTTACCCATGCAGCATCAGAAGATCACTGCTCTGGGCAACAACTAGCCACATGATGATTTTTACATGAAGCAGCGCCCTGAAGGGCATGAGATACTCACCATGAAGGGCATGAGATACTAATGTGTTTGGTGCTGTATCCCCCCCAAAAAAAAGTATCCCAACCTTCAGCCTGTAAGGGTACATAATTAACTAAACAGATATTGTGTACATGGTTATTGTAAATGTAGCTTATTTGGGTTTGTTTAGGTTTTTTACTGAAGTATAGGTGGATGATGAGCTGTTCATGAGAGTTGTGCAGGAAATGGTCAAGCCCGTCCATGTGGTTAGCTTTTTGGGTTTGTAAAGTTGAAGTGTTCAAAGGGCAATTAGAGACCCTGCACATGGATTAATTTATTTAAAATCCACCCTGCTCTATGCTTTTCTGGATAAATTCATCAAATCAAAAACTCACAAATGCTAATTAACCAAGCTCAGATAAGTATCATTGGAATGGCTACAAGATAATCAGCAGCAGCGTTTGTACCTACTGGAATGAGCTATGTTAGACTGCAGTAGATTGCTTGCTTTCATCCAGTGCCTAATTTATGTGGCCTATTTACAATATTTTATTTCAATAGCTTTTATATTGTTTGGGGCATGCTAAAACCAACATCTTCACAAACACACTCCACAAGTTTCTCATAATGGCAATTTGATTAGAGCTTTTGTACATTTGTATGTTAAAGTGTATCTAAAGGTGAAACATTTTTTTTTTTAGTTTTGGAGAGAGTAAAGAAGGTTTAAAGGACCCCTGTTGGTTTTTTTATGCTGTTGGTTTTTTTTATGCTGTTGGTTTTTTTATGCTGTTTGTGTCCCTGGTGGGGGAATCAGTCACTATATTTGTCCTGGTGATCATTGTCACCAGAACTAAAAGTGTGGGAAAATCTAAAATGTTGAGTTGCGACTAGGACAGGGATAGAGGCGGAATCTTCCAATATGGACACTTGTCTCCATGAAGAAAAGAATTTTACCTTACTTTGAAGAAATTTCCTCACTTCCCACTGTATCTATAGGATGGGAAATAAAAAAAAAGGAATTCTCTTAAATGCAAAACAAAACTGAAAGGGGTATTCCCTACTGTATCCAAAATAGAATAAAAAAGTTAGGACTTTAGATATACTTTAAAATGATTCTAAAGGTGGAGTTCTTTTTGGGTCCCCTGCCATGGTCCTGGTTCACATGGAGACATTGTCCATTTACACACAGAGAGCAGCTCGCCCTGCCCCCGCTCTCTCCTCACTGGCCAATGGCTCCCGCTACTGTGTGAGTCAATAAGAGAGAGACCTCAGATCTCATTGCTGGATCAAGATGGGGCTCAGGTAAGTATAAGGGGGGCTGAGGAGGGAGCTGCACCTAGAAGGCTTTTTACCTTTATGCAAAGAATGCATGATGGTGAAAAACCCTCTACCTTTAGAACCACTTTAAAGAATTATACAGCACAATAACTTTACTTTTTTGGTGATCATCCTTGATGCACACTAATGAAAGTTACGTTCTCCTAGAACTTTATTGGAAATTAAAAGGATGTAATGAAACTGGACATGTAGTTTACAGTAACCAATCAGATGCTAACTGTTTGGGATAAAAAAATAATCCCAGAAGTGGGTTTTCTCTTTAAACAAATAACTAATTTTGAATGCATTCGTTTTTCCAGAGGTCCCTCATTAGAACTCATGAATGCAAACATTGGTGAATATGAGTGCACAGCTCTATTTTGTTTTTTTCAATTCTTTATTTATTAGAAAATAGCACCAGGGTACAAAAGGATATACATGGTATCAACCGCTCAAACAAAACAAAAATCACATTTTGCAATGGATTACTAAACAAATCTTACAAAGGTCAGCAGCAGGTATACATCTAAAATAGAAAAAGTGATGCACTTGTATTGGCAACATAGCTTACCATAGCCAGATGTCCTTCATAAGAAAAATGGTAGACTCTTTGCTATGATGTAACAAGAAAACATAATAGTTTTAACATACAGTATGTCATGTCTGTGGAAATACCGATCGATCATCCTTGAACACCCTTTAATAAGGTTCTTTCATGTCTATGATTAATGTTTTGGAGTGATGACCTTCTGGTGTATGCTTTAATTGGCAGAGTGTCCTAACCCATGTCAATGATATTGTATTGCTTTTTGGAGAGCCTTCATAAGAAAAACTGGTAAAAAATACATTGGAGGAGGAAAAGGGACAAGAAAAAAAAGAGGGGAGGAAGGGGTTGTCCATTCCTCTCACTACTGAGTCTCCTCGAAACAGTCATGTTTAACGTTGATTTTTTGTTATAACAAAGCTACACTTATTTCGGTTTTAATAGATTTAATGTACCAACTTTGATGTTAAACATAATCAACATTCTCCTTACTGGTAAGGGTGAACTTGTTGCACTGCTCTCATTGTGATTTTATCAGGTAGATATACTCTATATCCATAGCATATAAATCAGAAACATTCTGTCCTGACCTAAAGCATGTGACGGAAAAACTACTCTATAAGCATAAAATGTTGAATAACTCTGTCTAAAGAAAACGAGAATCACTTGACGCATTCATTTTGTCTGTTACAGCTCAGAAACCCCCAGTGCATTGCTGTTTTGAAGGCATCAAAATGGACTATATAATTCAGGGATCTTTCTTTTTATGTAAATTCCTATCATTTCACAAACAGCTGTGAATATTTTGTAGAACTTAGTATGTTTTCTGCTTTGCCAGTTGTTGCTGAGTGACAATTGTAGTTTTGATTTACAGCTGTGAAGAATCTACAGTAAGTGTGCTGTGTCTATATAATGACGCAGTTTTGTGTCTTCGCTAAATAAAAGAATGCAAGATATTTGTGGCTAATAGGTTCAAAAAAGTTACTGTAATTGGTGCAGTAAAGTATTTGCTCAAACTCTTGAAGATAATATGTCTGAGGAACTAAGGCAGGATGATTACACCAGTAGAAATTTCAGGGCTAACCCCATGCAAAGATTTTCAGAAGGATTTCTTAATCTCTGCATGTATGTTTCTGTATTACAGTATATAGAGTTACGCAGGTAGGCTGGGATCCCTTTCTTACAGCAAAGCAGTGTAAAACTGTTAGATGGGGGGGCAGGGTTGGGAGGTAATGTAGAAAATTTCACCAGAAGTGATCCAGAGAGATTTAGAGCCAATGGAAACTTTAGTCCAATACAGCGTATCCATTTCTGAGATACCACTTTTGGATAGAATGAGTCTTTAATGAGATTTCCAGTGAAATTAGATGGTTCCAAAAACATATTTATGGCCTTTTTTTATCCATTATTTGTGTAGGGCTTTTTTCGAGTCCATTCACACCAGTGCATTGCAATAAAGCATGTTATGTGCGTTGGTGCCCCACAGTGCTGATCATTGTGAATGGCACCCTAAAGCACCTCCAGAATGAACCTACAGTTTGTTGCAGTGCACCACAACACACTATGATGTACTACTGTCTGTTGTGTAACCAAAGTGTACCAGGTATTAGATTGTACCTGTTGTGATGCATTCAGCATAGACTGCTTTACCACAGTGCACAATTAACCCTGTGCAGTTGTACAGGTATCCTTACAATTCAGTTTACCTGTAGGTACAATGAATATCTCCTGAATGTGCACTGTTTAGGAGATATTTGCATTGGCAATGGACGATGACATCATCCGCGCATGTGCAGTGACACTCTGCATTCACAGCCACATAGTATACCGTGGAATGCAGAGCATCTTGCCATGACTGTGGTTCCTACGCACACACGTGGGAGTGATGTCATTGCGGCCCGACCATTCAAATGGCCAGGGTCTGCGAGCCTTAAGGAATTTCAGGTGAAGATGGAAACCTCTGCAGTTGTGACAGCAAGCCCTGATTTTTTTTTTTCGACGTTTAATACCAGTTTAACACACAATTTACATCAACAATGGATTGCCCTGGTGTGAATGGGCCTTTATTGTGGAATTACTGCCTAACATTAACTATCCTTAAAACATTCTCTCCCCCTCCTGTTACCTATCCTGCCTAATCTGTGTAAAAAAAAAAGATGTGTATATTTACTTTTTTATAGTCTGTTCCAGTACTGTCTCATGATCCTACAGCTTCAGCTTCCCTGGGTCAGTGAGTGGCAGTGGCAGAGGAAAGGTGGAAGCTCCGACAACAGCAGAGCCAAAGGAATCTATGAGTGATGTCATGGATCCCTGAATTTACAGCTGAGAATTGTCGAAGCATGTCCTGAGACAGGAGAGCTGGAGCTGCAGGATAACAAGACCGGACTGGAGCAGACTAAAAATGTGTATATTTTTAAGAATAGTTAGTGTTGGGCAGGGGTTCCACTTTGAGCTGAGCTCCAGACAGACATAGCTAGCACCATTAAAAAAAATTAAGTATATCTTAAGGCCATCAGACTGTGTACATAAAAATTGTTACTTTTTTAATGCAATTAAGAAGTCTCTCTTGATATAAATTGCCTGAAATCACATATACAGCAGTGCAGAAAGTTGGGCTCACTATTTCTTTTGCTA